CCTTTATAAAGTCCTTGAATTGAGGTCTCCTTCTCTTGTTGACAATGAATGCAGTCGCTAAGTAACGCACAAGATGGGGAGCATTGGTTTGAATGGCATTCAGATACCTGAAAAAACTCACAACAGTCCCATCAGGAAATACAAGTACAAAATGTCTAGTAACTCAGTCTTCACCAAAAATCAATATTTCAGAGGGGGAAGCATATCTTAAATAGCTTATAACTCAAATATCGGCACGCAGTATCAGACGATTTCTAAGCAAAATATTTGAACTCTAGTCATTTGTTGGCTAAGAATCACTATCTTAATGGCATCCTATCCACAAAAAGCTAGACTCCACCCAAACTTTTAATTAGACATAATTCATAACATTCATGCAAATGTCAATTATGCCACTCTAACAAGATTGCGATAAGCATCTTTCTTCTTTTCTTTTTCCAAATATGTGTAAAACACATAATATAACGAGTCTTGTTCAGAAAAATAAGCTGACACTAGTAGAGGCAAGAGATTATCAATGTTAAGGATTGATAAAAGCAAAAGCAAAGTTGTCAAATTTATAGAAAAACCGCAGCACCAGCAACAAGAGTGTCAATAAAATGATGAAGATAACAAATATGTCAACTAGAAACCAAGATAGATTAGTTTCCCAGAAAGAAGAAAAAACCAAGATAAGTTAGAAATTCCTCAAACTTTCAGGAATGGGGAGTGATAAGAAAAGAGATACAATGTGGCGTGGGTTGTTTTATTAATAAATAAAACGAGATGTCATTGTACAGTAAAAGGAAAAAAAATTAAAAATTGATTGGGAGAGGACATACTTGTCCTGATTAAACAAGTCAATGATCTGTGTTCTTCCATTATCGTGGTTGAAAAATATGAAGAGACTCCAATGCATTAGCCATATTCTATTTTGCACCTGATTCATAGGCGAACTGAAACTCTGCAACAAAAATCACCACCATTATACAAAAGCTCATTAAAATAACAAGGACATATAAATAAACAACTGCGTGTGTGTGAGCGTGTGAAAATGTAAATAAGGAAACCGTTGAATCAATTATTTCTAAACCTTTGAATCAATAATTTCCTTCAAGCGATTAAGCTCTTCAAGAGCAATGTCCCAGTTTTGCATCAATATCTCAGCTGCCAGCTTTCCCCACAATGCACTCAGACTCCTGTCACTGTTTGTGCATAAAGCCCTGTACTGATAGAGATAATCAGCGGCACCAGAGTAGTTACCACATTCAAACTGAAATTTCGCATACTGATACAATGCCTCTATCTGCTGTGGACCGATCTGTTCAAAAAAGTCATGCCAGGAGAGTTAAACTTATGCCAAAACAAAATAACTCCAAAAAACAAAAACAAAAACAATAACCAAATCTCTTTGTTCAATAAAAGTAATGTTAATCATACAACAATTAGACCTTTTTCAATTAAATGAGTGGGCTTCTAAGATAACACCTTATAAACACATGCAGTATTGCACTGCATAGCATATGCAATTATTCTTTTAAATGCTTTACTTCTTTTCCTGGGTTTTAAAAAGTAAAAGGAAAAGAAGAAAACTTGGGCAACCTGGTAACGCTCATGGAGCATCTGGAGATTGTATTGCTTGTCAGCCCTCAGCTCCTGAACGGCGGCCGCGTTCTGCAAGAAATTCACAAGCGGGGCCGCCGACTCCTCCAGGGCCTTGAGGCGAGCCACCACCTCAACCCTCCTCTCCACCATATCTAAGCATACCCATAATCAAACAGAAAAATTGTCAAACACATAATGTGCACACACAACACCCAAAGCACATACACCTATAAAGACAAAAATATATACCATGTATATAATTTTACCTTGGGGGACGTCTTCGGTGTGGTAGAGGGACTTGTGGATGTCCATGGCGTAGTCAACCATGTTGGTCTTGTTAAGGAGCTCGATCTTGGACTTGAGGATCTGCTCATCTGGGTACATCTGTCGCTCTTGCAGGAACTCGAGAAGGGGAAACACCAGGTGCCTGTCTAGGTTAGGCGCGATGCGTGGAGTTAGGTCGTACTCCGCCATAGCCAGAGAGCTCCTGGGTTTTGCGGCAACAGCTGAGACAGAGAGAGAGAGATAAACCGACTGAGAGGGTTTTGGAACTGCGAGTTGAGAAAGAAGGTCGTTTTGCTTCTTCTAGGTTTAGGCGTTTCGCTGCTATCCGGTTTTTTTTTTTTTACCGGGTTAAGAGGCTGGCCGAAGCCCAAACAAACAAAAAATTCTAACACAGGCACAAGCCCAGAGTAAAAAGGTGGCCCAAGATAGCGAGAGGCGAGTATTTAT